CCCACGGCGACGACCCCAACACATACTTGGACGTGAACGAGGTGCACTATGTGTCGTGCTCGGCCACCGGCGGCTCGTTCACCCTCTCCTTCCGCGATCAAACGAGTCCTCTGATCCCATGGAACGCCAACGCTCAAACTGGTATACTCACTCGTCTCTGTTGCTGCACGTCACGGAATCGCTGTGTCTAGTGGAGGAAGCGCTCAACGCTATCACATCGGGCGTCACGGTCACGCTCCATGGCGGCAGTGCGGTCGCGTGCAGTGCCAATGGTGTGCAAAAGTTCATTTTTGATTGCTCAAGCTAGAACGTAGGCGGGATCCTTGGTATCACTTACCTTCGCGACTATGGTGCCTTGCCGTGCATCCTCACAGACAACAGTCTCTTGACGCATGCGGGTAACGGGAACGGTCTGCCGGGCACAGGTACCCTGGATCACACGAAGATGGTCATCTTACGGGGAGCATGTAGGAACGCTTGCAGCTGCCTGTGGAGGGGCCACAATGGGAGGCTTGACGTCCGTCGTGGGGACAAAGGAAAACGCACTCTGCTCCAATCACGGCACCTGCGACTACACGACGGGTGCGTGCAAGTGCGATGCCTTCTTTGCAAGTTCCGACGGACTTGGCGGTCCCGGCACGCGTGGCGACTGTAGCTATCGCAAGCCCTTTTAGTGCTCTACCCCTAAAACAAAATGCATCTAATAGAAATGACCGAGCAGTAGTAGTCTCAGTGTCTCTACTGGCTGCATTCACATGAGCTTAGACACTTCTAGAAGTCGACAGCACTCGTTTGTGCAATCAACTCGAACGTGCTTTTCTGGAACAGCTTGGCCCGGCGCTGCATGTGGTCTGGTCTACACTGCTGTTTAGATGGTGCTGGTGGTGATGTACACGAGGAATCCCACCCGAGTGGAGCTAGACCAAGGGTGGCCGTGTTGTGTCGAAGTCGTGCGGCATGGGCCAAGGGACTTGTCGTCACATCGACGCTCCGTGCGGAGCTACAGCAACCCTCTCAGTTGCACAGGTCGAGGCACGGCTGCACTATCCTTACTACATATCGCCACTGGATCGTCGAGTGGACGGCGCGGACAGTGATACGTCTCTGCATGAGGTAAGGTATCACACACGGTGGAAACTTCATATCGTACGGGACAAGCACGGCGCCTTTCTTTGGGGCTTTGGGAAGTGACCAGCGTTTTCGAGACCGCTGGCTGGAGCCGCCGCACACCTACAGCCCCACAACGATGTCAACACATAAGGGCTGCTGAATGCTTCGCACCCGCTTGGTTTGTCTCATCAAAGTGCAAACTTCAAGTGCCGCTAACGTTTCCGGGGTGTTATCAAAGTACGTGGCGCCGAGACTCGCGCTGCTGGCATTGATGGTCGTTCCACTATACAACCAAACACGAAAGTCATCCCGCACGAGGCCTTTAATGATGGATAGCGTACAATACCTGCGCATAAGGTGAGCCAGCTTGGGGATCACGAGCCCGTGCAGCGTCGACGCATTCGACGGTGCGAGCCTACCCACGAGGTTCTTCTTACGATGCACGAAGTCGGTTGCGGCGCACGCTCTCACATCGACGGCGTTGATGGTTTGCGAGTTGGAGCATGTCACCGGCAGCAGCTCACTCTGCGCCGCGTTCATTTTCGCTCAGACGCTAACGCAAGGCCACGTTGTCGCGTGCAAAACTAAGAATAATAGAAATGCATTCTTATCCTATGGCGTTGGTGACGAGCGACGCGTAACGTCCATCACTGCCAACATCTTGCGATTGTGTGATCGAGTCCCATCGACCACACGATGTCAGATTTCTTCTGCATGGAGCCCTCGCATCGTGCTAGGAGCCGGCACACCTCGCTTCCAGGTGCCAAAGAAGATGCGCTACGGCAGTCAGGAATGCAGTTGCTCTCGTATCCTTCACTGCAAAATGGTATGTCGCGTGGCGTGCCCTCGCAACACAAAGAGACAATATGTCGTTCCTTACAAGGTCTGGGACGCCATTGCGTCACGCGCGTCGCGGGCCGCGGGGCTCATGGGCGGCGTCACGGCTTGCACCAAGTG